CCCGCCGACCCCGCTTCGGTTGCGGCGGCCCCGGCCTCGACGCCGGACCCGCGGGCGGCCCCGGAGGCAGGGGTCTTAGAGGCGGCGGTGGCGTCGGCGCTGGAGTCGCCAGCCGACCCTTGAGTGCCTGCTCGTTGCGCCAGCGTTGGCTGTCCCACCGGCTCCTGCTCCTGCTTTGAGGTCTCCGCCGCCCGTTCCTCTGTGCCGTCCTCCTCCGCCTGCTGCTGCTGCTGCTGCGGCGCTGTTGCCTGCTCATTTTGAGCACTCGCGTCCTTGTTCCGCTGCTCGTCGCCGCTGCCGTCCTTCTTTTCTTTGCGCCACGGCCCCACGGGCTGTCGCATCACCCAGCTGCTGCGCAAGCTTATCCCCATCCGCTGCAGCAGCCGGGCCAGCGAGCTGTCGCGGCGGCGCAGTTTGTCGACCACACTTGTGCTGCCGTGCCACCAGGCCGCCGCAAGGGCGCAGTAAAAGTGCTCCTCCACCCATTCGGCCTAACTCCAAAGCGTTGGCGTTTGGTTTGCGGCCCTTGAGGAGGTGCAGGCGGAGCCAGGTGCACACGAGCCGGAGCGGGTGCGCTGGGGGCGGCCACACCCACCACAGCGAGACACAAGAGAATTTGGGGCAGCGCGCCTGTCAGGAGGAGCACGTGCTCCCAAAGGGCGACTGCGGCGGCGCAGCGAGGTGCGCCGGGAAGCGGCGCCAGAAAGCGCGCCGGCCCCCACGCACGGCCTCGCCCTCCAAGCCAGCAGCCACGGGCGCTCAGCCGCGGCGGCTCACCTGCAGGCGCGGGTCCTCAGAAACTTCCGGGTCCGCCGTGCGCCGCTCAATCGCCTCTAGCAGCCGGCACACCGCATCCACGTTGTTGATGCTGGCCGCGACCATCATGGGGTTCAGGACGCCCTGCGCGTTGCAAAGGCCCAGCGAGCGGTTAGGCGGCGAGGCTCAAAGGGCCGAAGGCTGGCGTTGCGAAGAGGGGATGGCGTCGCCAGCCGCCTCCGACAGGCAAGAGGCGGGGCAGACACGCCCAGCTGGCAAACGGGCGGCCCGGCCCGCCGCGCAGTGCAGCGCAGCAAGCAGGGACAGGCGCTCACGCAGTGGCCAAGGGGGTCGGCGCCGCCCTCTAGCAGCTTGTGCAGGCTCGAGTCGGCCTCTGGGACGATGAGCGTCTCAATGAGTAAAGTTTGGCGAAAGTCCTGGGCGGCAAGGCAGGGGAGCACGCGGCAGGGGAGCCGACGGCAGCGCACGCGTGTAAGGTCGCCTGGCGGGGTGGCGAGTTGCTGTGAAGCCGGCGCTGCTTCCTGCGATTTGCCGTGCTGTGCTGCGCGGTGCCATGGTGTGGCGAGCAACGTGCAGGCTCTGCTTGGAGCGCGCACTAGGTGCCTCCGGCCCCCATCAGCCGACGCTTGGCGCATGCAGGACAGGCTAAGGGGCGCACATGCACGGCGCCTGCCCTGCATTCGCGCCACCTCAGGTGGCACCACTCAGGAGAAGGGTGTCGGCATGGGCTGAAATACCAAGTTAATTATGCCCAGCTGGACACCCACCCACCAGCCAATGGGCACACCCACTTAATTGCACACACGCAAGGACACGGCGACGCGCACGTGTGGGCACAAATCCAGCCACCCATCACCCACAAACTCGCTCAAATGCATGCACACACGCATACACACAAGCGTATAGGCAAGCCCAAGCGCAGCGCACCAGGCTGTCAATCACGTCCAGCCAGTCCCCATCAGCCAGGTGCTGCGCTGCGGCAGACAACTGCAGGTCGAGCGCCGCGCCGCGGCTGAACGCCATGGGATCAAGTGGATTGTTGGACGCCAGGGCGGCGCGGTACGCGTCCACCACGTCAAACAGGGGCATGTCCTCCATGACCTGTGGGTGGCGCATGGCGCATGGCCATGTGCATGGGCATGTGCAAGCGCATGCGCATGTGCATGTGCATGAGCATGTGCATGTGCGTGAGAGACAGCGGTGGACAAAACGACGAGCAAGGGTTCATGGTGTTGCATGCGACCATGACACGCACGTGTGGGCATGTGTAGCACACGTGCGCATGCGTGCAACAGCGTGCTTGATGCAGCTTAAGCGTGCCGCGATCAGCTTCTAAATGAAAATCCATTGCATGGCTGCACCTCAAACCGCAACGACGGCAGCTCGGGGCTAGTGGGGTCTCCCAAATGGAGGGTCAGCTGCCGCCCCGGCAGCGGCAGCTTCAGCAGAGGGTACTCCAGCACGTGCTTTGCGTAGCACCTCTGGGGGTGCATCGAGAGTAGCAGGGCAGTCAGGCGTACAGGGACGGTTTGGTGGGCGAACAGGTGAAGCAAGCAGGGTGCGATGCCGTTGCAGTGCACCACAGGGGTGCACGCCGCCGCCGAAGGCGGTCGCATGCGCGGCGCCCTCCCTCGCGCCTGGAAGCGGTGGCAGAAGATCTTGTCTCCGTCCTGTGCGCGGGCGTGTCGTGATGGGCATTGGGCCAGTGCAAATTTGCACACTGCTGAATGCACCGCCGCCCACGGCGCCGCTGGGGAGCGCCGAAGTCGGCCGTACAGGCCCCCAAAAAGGCCTAGGCGCCGCAACATGGCGTGCTGCTCAGCGTGCGGCGAAACATCAAAAGCGGGTGGCGGCCCCTGCTACCCCCTTTACGCCCCCTCCCACCCACACGCACGCGCATGCGCGCACACGCCCCCGTACCGCACCTTCAGCCCCAGCTGCCATGCCGTGTCCTCAAGGTGCACCGTGCCCCCTGGGCTCTGGAACGTCAAGCGGTGCAGCTTCTCATTCTTCCTGTCGCAGTACGCATGGATGAGCTTGTCCATCCCCGTGCTCATAAACACCTTGAAGACGACCTCGTTGCCTGCAGCGTGGCGACGGCGTTGCGGAAGGGGCGCGTGCGCCTGGGACGCACGCAGGAAGCCGCCTGGGAGGCGCCGTTAGGGCCCTTTTGATGGTGACGTGCTGGGCGGCAGGCCCACGCGCTGCAGCTGCGGGGTGCAGCGTGGGCGAAGGCACCCGGGTGCGTGTCAACGCCCACTGACGGCCAGCCGCGCCGCCTGGCGATCAGCCCGCCTCAACGGTGCATGGCGCCTCTCACCGTCTTCGTTCACCACTATTAATTGCAGCATTTCCTCGTCTGCAGCATCCCCGCCCGCATCACCATCGCCGGCGGCGGCGCTCTGGCCACCGCCTCCGCTGTGGCTCGTATCACCCTCTTGACCGGCTGCCGAAGGGTTGGCCTGACCCTCGTCGGTCCCGTCTGAGACGGCATCGCGCGGCTGCGGGCGGTTTGGGGCGCTGCGCTTATCGGCGCCGTCGTTCTTGCGGCGGTTGCACCTTTCAGGGGACATGGCCGCAGTCCCGCCGCGAGCCAAAGCGCGCTCGTTTGCGGCGCCGCCTTCAGATGTTTCCTCGACCGAGTCTTACTGGCACATCATCAAATGTGCTCTGCACTTGCGTTTGGTTGTTTCCTATCTGACGTACGGTAGCGCACGGGGTGCTGGCCAACCTAGCGAAGATCACAAATGAGCACGTATCTCGTTGACGCTGGTGCATATGATTTTCAACTTGATGATTTTCACCACCTATGGCGCACCGGGTCCCCAAACCCCCAAGATCTTGCCGTCACTCGGTGTGCCTACGGTCCACTTTCAAATGATTTCGGGTCCTGGCCTGACGTGTCAAACACCTTGCATTTCAGCCAAGCATTTACATTCATGCTGGAGGTAGGGTCGCCAACCCGCATGACAGCAATGGTCCATGCACGGCCGCGGTCATGAGGTCAATGCCCACGAGCGGCCACGGCCGGCGAGGCGCTCTGACCGCCCTCCACCGCCGCCTCACCCCCGCCGCCACCACCGCCCTCGCGCTGCTGCGCGCCGTGCTGGACCAGCGCCGCGTCCACCGCGACCAGCAGCTCCCGCGCCGCCGCCTCGGCGTCCTGCGCCGCAAACACCGCCGAGACGACCGCGATGCCCGCCGCGCCCGCGCGCACGATGTCCGCCGCGTTGGCGGCCCCCACGCCGCCTATCGCGACCACGGGGATGTCGACGGCGGCGCAAACGCGCGCGACGCCGTCGATCCCGATCACCGAGCTGTCCTTCGTGCCCGTCGGCAGCACGGCGCCGCAACCCACGTAGTCCGCGCCGTCCGCCGCCGCCTTGACCGCCTCCTCCGGGGTCTTGACCGACACCCCGAGCAGCTTCCCAGGCCCGATGAGCCGCCGCACCTCCCGCGCCGGCAGGTCGTCCTGCCCCACGTGCACGCCGTCCGCGCCGGCCGCGATCGCGATGTCCACCCTGTCGTTGATTATGAGCGCGACGCCCGCCGCCCGACAAATCTTGAGCGCCGCGCGCGCCGCCGCCAGGAAGCCGCCGCCGTCGGCGTTCTTCTCGCGGATCTGCACGATCGTCGCGCCGCCCGCGACGGCGGCAGCGACGGACTCCTCCAGCGTGCGGCCGGCGCGCGCGTTGCAGCCGGGGTCGGTCACCACGTACACGCGAAGGTCGCAGGGGTTGGGGCGGTGCCGCGCCAACAACCACCGAGCCCCCGCCAGCGCCGCGCCGCCCGGGCGCTCCGCCGCCGCCGAGGGCCCCACCACTGCCGCCGCCGCCGGGTCCTCCCGCACGAAGCCGGCCCCGTGGTGGAACGGGTGCTGCGGGCCCGCGCCGAGCGCGAGGTGGGCGCTGCCCGCGAGCGCCGCGGTGAGGTAGGCCTTGGCGCCGCGCACCGCCGCCGCGACGGGCAGGCCCCGCGCCAACCCCGCCGCGGCCGCGGCGCCCAGGGTGCAGCCGGTGCCGTGCGTATTGTCTGTATGCACGTAGGGCGCGCGCAGCTCCAGAAAGCGTGTGCCGTCAAACAGAACGTCCACAGCCAACAGCTCCTCTTCCTGCTGCTCCCCTGCTGCCGCACCCGCTGCGCCGCGTGCACCTGCCTCCTGCTGCTGCTGCTGCTGCTGCTGCTGCTGCTGCTGCTGCTGCCGCTGCTGCCGCGCCGCGCGCCGCTCCGCCTGCTGCGCCACCATGTGGCCGCCCTTAACGAGCACCGCGCGCGGCCCCAGGGCGTGCAGCTTCCGCGCGGCTTCCTTCATGTCGTCGACCGTCTCAATGCTGAAGCCGCCGCCCAGCAGCACGGCTGCCTCGGGGATGTTGGGCGTCACGAGCGCAGCCAGCGGCAACAGCTCCGATGCGATGGCGTCGGCGACGCAGCGGCCGGCGAGGGCGTGGCCGCTGGTTGAGATCATTACAGGGTCAACTACCAGGTTAGTCACGCCGTACTCGCGAACCTGGGGGGGGGGGGTCGGTCACATTTTGAGACGGGTGGGTGTTTGCAGGTGATAAAGTGCCATCACTGTCGAAACAATTCAGGCTGGTGCATAGAGGGGCGGGCCAGCGGCGTCCAGAGGGGCGCAGGCGCAAGGCCGGGCTGAGCGGCAGGTGAGACTCTCAGCAGGTTCCCAGCAGATGCCGCTGCCGTTCGCAGCGCCTACAGCACGCGCCCGGGCGGGCTCGCCGCGGCCGTCGCAGAGCGTCACGTGCGCACCTTGCGCGCGACGGCGGACACGGCCTCAGCGTCGGGCAGCATGCCCGTTTTGATGGCGTCGGCGCCGAGGTCCCCGAGCACGCTGTCCAGCTGGCGCTCCAAAAAGTCCGCCGGGACGGGGTGCACGGCCTGCACGCCGCGGCTGTTCTGGGCGGTGAGCGCGGTGATGGCGCTCATGCCGAAGCAGCCCATGGCCATGATGGACTGGAGGGTGGGTTGAACATGAGGGGGGTGTGATGATAAATGTTGTTGAGGAGGAAGGGCCGGGGCGAGGCCAGGGGAGGGAGCTTCAACAAGAAGCGGTGGGAGGACCGACCCAAGCAGCCCCTGCAGCAACAGGTGCCAGGGCAAGCCCGCGGCGCCCCAGCTCAAACACCTGTTCCACGCCTGCACACAAGGCATACATTTCACCAGCAGACACCCCCCCCACGCCCGCGGTGCTTCAACCCCAGGCCAGCCATTTCAGCGAACGCAAAGGTTCACAACCACGCAGACACATGAGCTCACACACACTCTCGGATGCATGCATGCGACACACATGCGCACACCACACAACAGCCACGCCAAACGCGCACACCTTGAGGTCCGCCTGGATGCCCGCGCCACCCCCAGAGTCCGACCCCGCCACCGTCAGCACGCGCGGCAGCTTCGCTTCGCTGCCTGCGGCCGCCTGGATTGCCGCCACGTCGACGCTGACAGCCGCCACGCCACCGCCGCCGCCGCCCGCACCCTCTGGGCCAAACAGGAACCCGTTGATCTCGTGCCACCCGGCGGCTTCAAACAGCACCGGCGCGCCGCCGTCCCCGCCCTGCGGCCGCAGCGGCGCCGCGGCGAGCGGGCGCAGCGCAACGCCGTGGCGCGACAGCACGCGGCGCAGGGACGAGCTTGAGTCGATAACGATGCCGTAGTCGGCCGCCAGCAGCGGCAGCACGTCGGTTGCTGAGTCGCCGACGTAGACGGTCACGCCCCGTTCGCCGCCGCCGACACCTCGCTCCTGCTGCTGCTGCCGCTGCTGCTGCTCCGCGGCGGTGAGCTTTCCAAACAGCCCCCCCTTGTCTCGCGCGCACTCGAGCCGCCGCAGCAGCTCGCCGGTGGAGACGCCGTCAGCGCCGTGGACGAGCTCGTTCGCATGAATGGTCAAGCGGCCGGGGGCCGCAGGTGCCACCGAGGCGCCGTAGCCGGGCCTATGCGAGGTCGCAAGGCGCCGCAGGAACAGAAACGCACGGGTTTGGGGTGTATCAAAGTATGTTGCTTTGGGGGCCCTTCGTGACCCTTGCGACACGCGGCCGCAACCTCTGCTCGGCTGACCCCTTTTAATGAAGGGCGCCCCTTCAGGCACCCACACGAACCAGGCCTGGCACCCAACACGCCCTCACGCGTTGGCGACCGCGCGGCTGGCTCACCTGGCCCCCGTCTCTGGGTCCGCAGCTGCGTCCGCCGGCAGCCCCAGCGCCGCCGCCACCAGCTGGCCGCTCCAATTGACCGACATGATGTGGGTCGGCACCCCCGCGTCCAGCGCCGCACGCAGCGTCTCGAGGCAGCCGGCCCGCAGCTGCACCTTGGCGGCCGTGGCCGTGACGTCGCTGCGGGCGAGGCCTGAGAGGCGGTAGGTTTGGGGTGAGGGCTAGGCGCGCGCAGGTGCACGGCATGCCGCTGTTATGCGCCGCGGGAAGGGGGAGGGCGCAACCGTACGCACAACCAAGGCCAGCCCCTCCCTGCCTGTGCACCGCCCCTCGCGGGGCAGTGCTCCCACTGGCCAGAGCTGCGGCAGCTTGGGGGATGCAGCGGCACCTAAGGAGCCACTGCACAAGATCCAAGGCAGCGCACCGGCCACAATGCTGGCGTCCACTGCGACTGCGTTCATCTCGACATCAAAGTCGGACAGCCGCTCCACAAAGCGCTCAAGGGCGGCGCGGTCAAAAGCGGCCGCGGCCGCGCCCTGCGGGGCCGCGGTTCCAAGTAGATGAAGCCAGGGCCGGGGGCTGCGTGTCTGCACTTATGAGAGCTGGCATACAGCGACCTGCTCACAGGCCGACAAAACAGCCAAAAAAGACAGCCGCCCATGTGTCGTGTGCTTGTCAACTCTCGTGCTGCGAACCCTTGCAATGCTCGTGGGACCCAGCCTGCGCGCACCTCCGGCTGATCTGGCAGCGCTTCAGCAAACAGCGCCTGCCGCCGCGACTCGTAACCTGCCACCAGCCTGGCCACCACGCCCTCCAGCCGCTCCCGCACGGCGGCGCGCTCCTCCGCGGCGGCGCGCTGCGGGGGCCAACGACGTGCCATCAGGGGCGATGTGCATTGCTATGCAAGCGGCCTTGAAATGCAATTTTGTGTGTTGCGACACACCACCTGGATTTGAACAGTTGGGCGGAACAGGCGCAGGTGGCAACACTGGGCACACCCACAGCCGCTCACCTGCACCGAAGCGTCGATTGCGGCCGCGAGCAGCGTCCCTATTGTGTCCTTTTGAGTGCAAGTGTCGTCAAAGTCAACCACCAGCGCGTCGATTCGTCCTGGGAGGCAAGGTATAGAGGACAACAGCTTTCGGTGATCACACTGATACTGGTCAAATTCCACGATGGAAGCGGCACTGCAGCGGCAACCACTCCATCAGGCCGCCCGCCGTCAATGTGCTGTGCGCCCAAAGTGGCGCTGTTCCTGGCATGTGTGCCTCACTTGCTGCTGGCAATCCCGGCTGCGCGCTGAAAAATGCCACCTCCAGCTGCATCGCTTGTCGGTAAAGAGATCTCAGGCGATCTGCGAGACCGGGCGAGCGTTCGAGTCAGCCATCTGCAAGGTTGATCAATCTAGGCAATTCAGATGGCACTGACCATCTGCACGAGGGCACACTCGCGGCGTCCAGGGCCTCGGGCGAACAGCTCTGGCCAAGTGTCTGAGAGACGGCCCCGCGGCTATCCTCAGGCCCTGCATCCCGCCAAGCTATGAAGAAATCCAAAGCACGGCGTAGATCGGATCAAAACAAGGACGAATACTGTAATTCATGAGACATTGGTCGAGCGGGCGGCTTGGCGTCACTTGGTGACTCGTGCACAGTTCAGAGGCCCAGCGCTCACCATATGGGAGAGCCACACCCAGCTGGTCAAGCAGCCGCTCCTTCTGAATAGGGAGCACCTGTGTGGCGTGCCATGAGGGGGGATAGGCAGTGTGACATACCAAGATGACGTCACCAGCGGCTGCTTGACAGGGAGCTGGTGGCGCTCAACCCAGCCTCTGCAGTCACACGACGGCGGTTTGAGGGAGCCACACAAGACAGAAAATGTACCAGTTTGACATTGTCTGGGCCGTGGCACCCTATCTGTATCAAGCATCCTCACGCAGCACCACACACCGCCCATCCCCATGCATGCCCGACAATCCAGCCAGCGATCCCCCCAGCATCGAAACCCACCAAAAAGTCAGATCCCGAATACATCCCAATCCAGTCGTTGTAGGGGTGCCCCTGGCGGCCGCTGGCCGGGTGCGCCTTGGCCAGGCCACAGCCCAGGAAGGCATACAGCCGCGAGCACGGCACCATTGCCGCCAGCACCTCCGCCACAGTCGTCTGCGGTGCAGCAAGGGGGGTGGGATAGCCGCAAGCAGCCTCAAACGGGTGTGTGCAGGCGCCATCTTGATTACGGCATGCTGTCCAGTGCGTGAAGACCCCCTCCCTTCCCTTCCCCCCGCCGCTCTGGCTGTCCTCCTGCTAGACCTGTTACGCCAACCTCAAGCCAGCTGCTTGTGGAACCATTAGCGAGCTCGAGGCTGTGCTCCTGCCAAGCAGCGATTGCTCCCCCAAACACGCACGTGCGCACGCACACACACGCGCGCGCACACACACACACACTCACACAGACGCACACGCGCACACACTCACACACACACACCAATGCGCACCCACCTCTGGGTCCTCAGCCACCTCCAGGAGAAAATCTGTGTAAGCGGAGGTGGCAGGGTCCACCTCCTCCAGAGCCCCCAAGTCCACGCCCCAGCTGCGTGCGTAGCTGCCGTGCAGCCGCAGCTCCATGTGCACTGCAACAGCAGTGGCCGCGACGATAAGGGGGTCGCGGCTCAGCAGGGTGTGTGGGGGTTGGTTGCACCTGGAAACAATTGTTTTACTGTTGCCTTGGCGCTGGTTTTGTCCAGCGGAGCGACACCTGCGACTGCGCTTTTTGTGAGACACGAGCAGCGGCACGACTGCGGAGCAGCTGCACAGGCCTCGGGGCAGCTGCAAGCGTTCCTTGTCCCATGCGGACTGCATGGTGCGATGCTCCTGGATCGCAGGCCGGCCCGCCCTCAGCAAGCAGCGATGCGAGAACGCCCGCAGCTCACCGCCCATCATGAGCTGCTGGATAGTCAGCCGCGCCTCGGGCGCCAGCCCAGAGCACTTGTCCAGCGCCGCCGCGTAAGCGCGCGCGAAGAAATGGAGGAAGTGGGCGTCCTGCGCCACATAGCGGCGGAACGTGTCCCTGCAGTAGTGTAATCGCATCGCAGCGTGCGGCGGATGTTGGGCGTGAGTGGCGAGACGTGGGCTGCAACCACCACTCAAAACAGGACACTATGCCGACAAATGCTGAATTGCAGTAGCTTTTGCGAATGGCTGGTCCTGCCAGGTTGCACAGCAGCAGCGCTTGTCTGCAACATGACATGCCCGGCACCGCCAGCAGAGCATGCATCCATCGGCCGCCGCGACCCACTTTGGGAGCACGCCATGGCCCAGCGCGATCACAAATGGGTGCTGGAGCGCCCTGTAAGCCTCCAGCTGCGAGTCTTGCCAAAGCCGCTCGCTGATGCCGCCAGGGATAGGCAATCCATTTGGTTCAGGATCGCCAGCCATGATAAGCAAAACACGCAAAAATAAGTGCTATTTGACAATGGGATGCAAAGGCGACGCGTGCGCATGTTTATCACCAGAGTTGAACCGGGTGACAAAGTTCTGAGAGATCACAACAACGCATGACCGATCTTTTGATGCGGTCGATGTACTTTTGAATCACCTCAGAACATGCTCGACGCATCCAGTCGTCAGCAGTACTCTACCCTGTATCCAACGCGCGCTTTCGATTCGCCAGTGAGCAGCCCTGTTTCAACAATTATTCACGCACCCACTATACTATTTTATTGGTTGGCTCTGCTAGCAACCGGGGCCAGCCCGCTTTCGCACGATCGCCGCTGCTGCGACGATGGCTTTTGAAGTGCGCGTCAAGCAGTGGCACGCCGTCGGCGTCTGGACGTGGGACGCTGGCGACGACGTGTGTGGCATCTGTCGGAACCCGTTTGACGGCTGCCCGCCCGAGTGCAAGCACCCTGGCGACGACAGCCCCGTTGTTTGGGGCACCTGCGGCCACGCATTTCACCTGCAGTGCGTCACCAAGTGGCTCGCATCGCAGGCGCAGACGGAGCAGCGCTGCCCCATCTGTCGGCGTACGTGGGAGTTTAAGATGGCCAGCGCGGTGGAGCGCACGCGATGAGACATGTATGGGGCGGACGAGCGATTAGAGAGCGTGCACCGCTCCTGTGGCAGGCGGGTGCTTCTCCGGTGGTTCCTTTGCAGCGGGTGTTTATGTATCGTATTACGAGTGCTTGACTCTTGAATATCCAGCAGTGTGCTGCGATTTAGCAGCTCTTCGTGTGTGCGCAGGCCGCTGTTGTAACTTGCTTTGTGTGTGATACGCCAACGCGTTTTTGTCATGCACAGCCCTTGGCAATATCAACACGGCATACTGTAATCTTTCGGCGGGATGATGAGGGTTGAAGGAGCGTTGCTTTCGGCATCACGGCCCTTGATATTCGCTCGCGTGATGCAGTCAACTCAGGAGGCGGTCAAGGGTCAACTTGTGTGATCTCCAGGACCATGGGCCCAGTAGGTTTAGCAACATGCTCACTCATGTCAGTGCGTGACAATCACACTATCAGTGCTGAATTCTGCGACTATACTATGGCCTGTCCTTCGGTTGCACGAAGAGGGTGCGGCGACACGACTAGAATGCACAAGCAGTCAAGCGCGAGTCCCGGCGCTTGTGCTGGCAGTCGAGTCAGCGGCATCTACAGTAGCAGGAAAGAAACTAAACCATAACTGGTGTAAAGAGTCAAACCGGTAGTCGTGTTTAACCTGAGGACCCGATGCGATCTGTGATCTAGCTCGTCCATGCTCAGCCTAGACGCGAGCCATGTCACCTTCACAGCAATATTAGCGCGCTACAAGGCACTTCTGCTACCCAGACATGTGGCCTCGTCGCGCCACACCCGCACTTGCTGCACGGAGGAGTGCCGTCGCCGCTCCACATCAGCAGCTGCGGGGCGCGGCAGGTCCCCAGGGCCAGGCAGCGACACAAGGGCCCCGAGCGGTGCCCCAGCCACGCCCCTGGACCCCCCGCTGCTCACAGCTCTCATCTGCAAGGCGGGTGACTGGCGGCAGCTGCGGGCGCTGCTGGAGCAGCATGCTGGTGCCCTCAACCCCATCCACGCGTCTGCGGCCATCACGCGCTGTGCGCACCTGCTTGAGGCAAACGCTGCGGGCACGGACGGTTCAGCGGAGGCACCAGCAGCAGCGGCAGCAGCAACACCAGCAGCAGCACCAGAAGTGGGTGGCAGCACCACCCGCAATCTCAGCAGCAGCCGCAGTAATGTCAGCAGCGCCCCTAGTAAGAGCAACAGGAGCAGCAGCAGCCGTAGCAGCAGTGCAGATGGTAGCGGAGGAAGCGAAGGCGGCGCAGTTGGGGGCGGGTTTGAGCAATTTCTGGAGGAGTCCTTGCTGGGCCTGGTGTCCCTCCACGCGCCGCAGTTTGGGGCGAGGCAGGTGGCAAACAGCCTGTGGGCACTCTCAAAGCTGCGCCCTGGCTGTCTGGCGGTCGCTGGCGCAGGCGTGGGAGCGGGGGGCGGCACGCAAACCCAGCGGCTGCAAGCAGGCGAGTCAGATCAGCAGCAGGGGCAGCAGCAAAGGCGGGGCCGGAGGCGCACGGCAGACGGCGCCCCCGCGGTCACGTCATCATTCACGGCGCGCAGCGAGGGTGGCGCCGGCGGCAGCGGCGGCCGCGATGCGGGCAGCGCGCTGGCCGCGCAGCTAGCAGACCGTGCGGCCACCAGCTGGCCGCGCTTCTCGGCCCAGGAGGTCGCGATGACCCTACACGCGCTCGCCGCCCTCGGGAGCCCCGCCCTTGGCGCCGCGCAAGCCGCAGACGCCGCGCGGCGCCTGTCGGAGGTCACCGGGCAACTGAAGCCGCAGGAGCTGGTCCTTTCAATGGCGGCGGCCAACGCGCTGGCCCTGCAGCTGCCGCCCGCCGCGTGGGCCGATCTGCTGGCCCACGCGCTTCGCACCGCGCCCGCGTTCTCGCCTCGCGACTGCGCGGCGCTGCTGCACGCCACCGCGGCCGCGGCGGCGGCCGACGCGGAGCGGCGGCCGGGGCACGCCTGGCTGGGCGACTTCCTGGCGGCTACGCAGCAGCAGGTGGCGGGCTACAACCTCCAGGACCTAGGGATGGCGCTGTATTCGCTGGGGCGGCTGCGCCACCAGCCGCCGCGGCCTTGGCTGGCGGCCGCGCTCCGCCGCGCGGGCGAGCAGCGGCGGCGGATGTGCGCCGGGTCTGTGTGCATGTGCCTCTTCGGGGTCAGCTGCATGCGCTCGCGGCCGCCGGCGCAGTGGGTGGCGGCGATGGCGTCGCAGGCGCTCGGCCAGTGGCAGGTGCTGCAGCAGCCGCCTGTGGGGGATTCGGAGGGGCGGGCCGCGAGCGAGCAGCGGAGCCAGTCGCAACCACCGCAGCAGCAGCAGCAGCAGCAGCAGCGGGAGCATCTAATGCTGCTGTGGGCGTTTGGCCGGCTCCGCTACCGCCCGCCGCCCAGCCACCTGCAGGCTCTGGTGGCCTCCATCCTCCAAACCACCCTGCGGCCGCCATCCGCTGAGCGGCACGACGCGCCGCAATCCGCCGCATCTGCGGACGCCACGCCCCTGGATGCCGCGCGCGCAGGCAGCACGGTGCTGCTGGCGCTCGCTCGCATCGGCTACGTGCCGCCGCGCCGCATGCTCGCCGAGCTCCTTGGCGCCGCGCTTCAGGGCCTGGTCGACGCGCCGCCACAGGCGTTTGCGTGCACCCTGTACGCAGCCGCACTGCTGCTGCGGCCTGCTGGCAGCGTCGGCGGCGCCGGCGGCGCGGGCGCAGGCCCCTGGCTGTGTCGCGCGCTGGACGTGCTGCAGGGTCGGCTCGGGGAGCTGACGCCGCAGGGGCTGTCCATGGTGGCGTGGGCGGCCGTGCGGCTCGCGCCTGAGGCACGCGGCGGCGGCGACGGAAGCGGCAGTGGCGGCAGCAGCGGCGGCAGCGGCAGCGGCGGTGGCAGCGGCAACGGCGGCGGCAGCGGCGGCGGCGAGAGCGGCGGGTCGAGGCGACGCAGCCCTGCAGGTGCTCGGGAGTGGCTGGGGGCTGTGTGCGATGCGGCGGGCCCAAGGCTAGGCGGCGCGCGGCCGCAGGCGGTGGCGGTCCTGCTGTGGGCCGCGGCGCGCGCGGGGCACGAGCCTGACGAGGGCTGGCTGGCCGCGGCGCTGTGGCGCCAGGCGGAGCTCGCGCCCGATGCTGCGCCGCAGTCGATCGCCCTCACGTTCTGGGCGGCCGCCACGCTGACGCACCGACAGCGGCTCCAAGAGCAGCGACAGCAGGAGCAGCAGCAGGAGCAGCAGCAGGGGCAGCAGCAGGGACAGCAGCAGCAGCAACAGCAGCAGCAGGCGCAGGACGGCGAGGGCGAGGGGGCGCAGCAGGAGCGTAGCGTGACCACGGCGCTGTGGTGGCGCTCCGAGGCCGTGCGCGCGCCGCTCGCCGAGCTGCTCGCGACAAGCACCCTGCGGCTGAGCAAGTGGCGGCCCCAGGACCTCGCTATGGCGGCCTGGGCCCTCTCGCGGCTGCGGCTGCGGCCGCAAGACGCGTGGATGGCCCGCTTCTACGCGACAAGCGGCCGCAAGATGGCTGAGTTTCGGGACCAAGAGCTCGCGGTCATGGCCTGGGCCTTGCTGCGGCTGCTGCCCGCCGGCGCCCGCCCGCCCACGGCGTGGGTCGCGTCCCTGCGCGACGAGGCGGCCGCGCGGCGCGCGCGTGGGGACGGGTCGTGGCGCGGCCGGGACGCGCGGTCGGTGGCGCAGGCCGTGGCGGTGTGGCTGCGCGCAGGCGGCGGCGGCGGCGGGGCGCGCGGCGGCGCAGGGGGCGGTGCCTGGCGGTCGAGGGATGACTGACGGTCGTGTAATGCTTCTTTGGTCAGCTCACGTGCAGAACAGGAGGAAATGGTCCATGGCAGTGCTGGCAACGGTGAATCATTTTGCACAAGCTCCTTTATTTCGTCAGACAAGCTCTTCGCTTCATCAGAAACAGCGCATGGCGATGGGGGGTTGTAGCCTGATGGTGCGATGGAAGTACCCCAGTTATCAAGCAGGCCGCAGTGCTTGGCTAGGCGGAGCTGGCACGTGCAGCACTCTCGCTCATCCCCTTGTTGACTAAGGGCGCGCCACTGCTGACCTGCAAGCAAGCATGTAGGTCACGTATCAGCAGCCCTGCATTCACCCCAGCTCTGGTGAGTTTTCAGTCCGATTGTCTGCATGTGGGGGCCCTCAACTCTGCACCGCCCACTCCCAGCTACTTCAAAACACCTCATCAAGCTGGTGCGCATCAACCCTGCCGTGTTGTCATCACATCCCGCACTGCAGGCGGCTGATACTGCCAGTTGCTGATTTACCGGCCGCAGCAGCAGCCAGCGCACTGCCGAATGCAGGCTGCCCGTGCTGTTAGCCCTGCCAGCCTGCCAGAAGGGTGTGGTCTTTTTGAGCTGGTGGTTCTAATTGTTTTCACAATTCAAGACGAACTTCAAATCATGTCAATGGTTTGTTTTATACTGTGTGCCAATACAACAATACCATTCAACAACACCAGTCACTCAGCCAGAATGATGAAAAACGGTGTGCATGGCCCACCAACCCACAAGAAACCCCCTGACATTGCTAAAGCCGCGCGTGTATGTACAGAGTCTGGGCATAGAACACGTGACAAACAAAGTCACCGCCACACACAAGAAGCATTTGTTCAGATGCACAGGATCGTTTGCGGCGCTCTGCCAGGCACAGTCAACGGGCTGTACAGGGGCAGACAGCAGAATATGCAAAGGTAGAGGAGGTGCGTGAGGAAGGGCGTAGTGCACGTCAAGGGACATGCGGCCGCACGCCGACGGTTTGGTTTAGGAGATGGGTGGAGGAGAGTGGCGTCTTTGCTTTGCGCGCTCGTCCGGATCATGCATGGTCAAACACCGCCCAACACGGGTGCGATGGGAAGTTGACAAACAGGCGCAGGCCACTCGGAGGTGGCTGCGGGCCGGAGCTGGTCGCGCGTGACAGCCGGGCCCAAGGGCAGGGGCCACAAGGGCGGCAGTCGGCAGAGCACGATGCGGCTGGCGACACAACAACACGTCGGGCAAGAGTGATAGGGGGGGCAAGCCCTTCGAAGTCGCACATACAAAACAATACAGCTTGAGAAGCTGGTAGGGCAAGGCAAGGCGCTGCCGGCCCACCCGCTGCTGAGAGCGCCGCGGGCGCTGGCCGTGATGGGGCAGGGTAAGGCAAGAGGATGTCATGGCAAAGGAAGGTATGAGCCAACATAGGTAGGTGAGACGCCGCAAGGAATGCAACATCATGGTTGGGACCACTCTTGAGATGCTTCGGAGGGACATCGCGTGCGTGCAGGCCGCTATCAAGGCACCGCTAGCTGCCTCGCCCCCAATCGCCTCTGTCGCCGCCGCCTGGTCAGGGCGGCTGCGGCTGCGGCGCGACGACAGGCGTGCAAGCTTGGCCTTCAACGCCGCCCCGATGCGCCCCTTGTGGGCGGTGGTGGCGGTGACGGGCTCGGCGTCGCAGGCCTTGGCCGAGAGGCCGGAGCGCGCCTCGGCGGGGGCTGTGAGAGAAGGGACCGTGAGGCGCCTGCTGCTGCGGGCGCGCGGCGGCAGGGCGGCCCTGAGCCTGTCGCCAAAGCTCTTGCTCCACCCGCGCGCACCCGTTGTGTCAGCCTTTGGGCTGGGCTTGAGGGCTGCCGCAGCGAGCTCGCTGGCGGTGGAGGCGTTGATGGTCACCAGCACGGCGGCGTCGTCAGCGGTGGCAGAGTTGGAAGTGACGTTGCCGTTGGGGCCGGCAATGGGGGCAACGACCGCAGGACTGGAGAGCAGGCAGGAGTTCGCGGCGTCAGCCTTGACGCTGCGGCACTTCTTCAGCGACGCGTTGCGCTTGGGGGTGAGGGCGGCCGAGGCCTTGGCGGCGGTCGCGCGCCACGAGGCCGCTGCAGAGTCACTCGCAGCGCCGCACTTGGCCTTTGCGGCGGCAAAGGTGCGCGCAAGCCAGCTGGCTTTCTTGGGGGCCTCGGGGGCGGAGGCGGTGTCACCAGCCGGGGCTGCGGCGGTGACCTGGGCGGTGGTGGTGCTCCGGCTGGAAGTGGAGGTGGCGCTGGCGGCGCGCGGCGTGGGCGCGTGCGTCTTGGGGGTAGCAGGGGCCTTGGTGGCGGCGGCGACTGTCACGGCGCGCCACTTGTCCTTGAGGCCGGACACCGCGCGCACAAACCAGCCGGCCTTGGAGGCCGGGGGTGCGTCAGCGGCGGCGGCGTGCGGGACGTGGTCGGGGGTGGAGGCGTCCGTCGACGCGCACTCGTTTGCGCAGGGCAGGGGCGCCGGGGACGTGGCGGCAGCAGAGGGTGCAGCGTCGGCGGTGCTGGCCTCGGCGGTCGTCATGGTGGTGGTCTTGCCAACCAAGGTAATGCGCTTGAGGATGTCGGCCAGGGTGGCCAGGTGGAGAACCGCCTGCGGTTGCGTGAGGACAGTGTGTGGACAGGTCGGTGCAACTGCGTAGCTTTGGGTAGACGGGCAGCAACGACAGCGGCAGCGCGACTGACGCAAGCATAAGGAGGTCCTGTGCGCCTCCTGTGCGCTCGCGGCACCCACCAGAAGGGACGTCATGGACGCCATGGTTGATGCTGAGGTGGCGCAGCACGAGCAGTGGGTGCGTTCGTTGCGCCTGCAGAGCAGCGGCGGTGGGACAAGTGTGAGGGCGTCAGGCTGGTCCGGGCGCGGAGCAGCGTTGGCGTGTGTCTTACAGCTTGGAGACAGCATGAACGCAGCACCTGGCTGACAAAGAGGCCGGGCACCACGAGCGGTTGGCCTCGCGAAGGCTTCTGGGGTCCCTCACCTGTGTCGCGCGATGTTGGATCGCGCCGAGGTCGTGTCTGTGGGAGCTCTACGCAGGCTTGGAAGCGGTGGAGGGGTCTCTGGACTCGGGGTGCTGTCAGCTTCGTTGTCAGAGCTGGACTGCTTCCATGGACGATTGTGGACGATCAAGTTGGCCTGGTGCTTCAAGTACTCTTTATGAATGTATATGATCTTGTGGAACGTGAAGTGCTCTGGCGTGAGCGTTCACGTGATGATCCGGTTTCCACGCCCCAGCCGACGTGCAGCCCCGCCAGCTGCTCGCAGGGCAGCTCCTGTGCCGTTCCGACGCCCACGCCCCCCTAACGGCGCGACTCTTCTCTGCTGCAATACGCTGCAAGTCAGGACACTGTATGCAAATCTCTGCAGGCAATGTGTTTGTGAAGATGCGGACTGGTGATGGGCCTGTCACAGTCCGCAGCAGCGCACAGCGCCGTAGCCCCATTCTGCGCACTGCTGTCGTCCACTGCAGCACGACCACCCCCTTTCGTTCCTTCGCACCATGCATCCAATTAGCAGCCACCACAGGGTGTGCCGTCTCTCCAGCTCCAACTGCAGCACTGCACTCTGTCAGCAGCTGGCTTATGTGTGCCTGACAAGCTTGGGTTCTGAAGGGCCGGGCCCCAGGCAGGATGTGGCGGAGATCAAGGGGAAGAAGCAGCAGCTGGAACAGCAGCTGCACCTCAATGGCATTAGGCTGGTGGCAACGGTGCATCTGGATCGGCAGCACCGTATGATGCGGCCACAGGCGGAGTATGCGCTGCACAGCACTAGACACGCCACAGCGCGCAAGCCCCCTTTACATCAGTGAGCAGGAGGGCAAGGACAAAATCCAATCTGTAGTGACAAAGAAGGGAAGGGACGCGAGAAAATTCAGGGGCAGTCAACAGCAACGTCACAGGTGGGGTCAAGCCTCTGGGCGTGCCGCGCGCCACTGGGGGTAGATGTCGCCAAACACGTCGTCGCTCATCAACAGAACCTCCAAGAGGCTCGTGTCCCCGGGCGCCAGCCGCTGCTCCATCTCAATCAGCCACCGCAGCCGCGCCCACGCGGCCTCAGGGGCGAGCAACGCAGCCGAGAGCTGCGCGGGCTCGGCGCGCGCGGCATCCACGCGCGCCCGCCAGTCGTCGCTAAGCCCTGAGAGCTGCAGCAGCGCGTCCGACCTGGACGCCAGCGCGGCCGCGCTGTACCCGAGCAGCTGCGGCGCGGCTGCCAGCAGCGCGCGCGCGGTGCCCTTGCCGTGCGATTTGCGGAGCGCCGCGGCGCTGGCCTCCAGGGCCGAGGGCGAGCGCGTCAGCAGATTGGGAGCCGACGCGGCGGCTGCCAGCAACGCCTTCCGCTGGCCTGGGCTCTGCAGGTCCAGCAGCTGGCCCAACAAGTGCAGCTTGCCTGCGGCGTGGGAGGTCGGGGGGCCAGGGAAGGGGGCGGGGGGACAGTTGGGCGCCTGGGCGCCTGGGCTGCGAGCTTGGTCATACCAAGGTAGGTGGCCGCGCGCGAGCGCGGCCATGGGCTGGGCCAGTCCGCGGGCGCAAGGCCAGGGTGTATTTTCAAGGGCCCGCATGGAGTACTGGGTGGTGAGAAGGGGACGACATGCCATAACCACTGCTCCTGAAACATAATCCTTGCCTAAAACCGCCCACATGCATGCGTGGGCGCGCGCACGCGCGCGAGCGCGCGCGCTCACACACGTACACACACACACGCGCGCGCGCACACACACACACACACACACACACACACACACACACACACACACACACACACACACACACACGGAGTGCGCCCCCTCCCCCGGCGCACCGTTCCAATTGCGCCCAGAGGCAGCCAGCAGCGACGGCTGCCGCTTCACCATCGCCTGCGCCGCTGCAGTGTCGCCGCCGCAAAGCCCAACGACTGCCGCCACCGTCCGCGCCACCGCCTCGGGCTTGCGCGTGAGCGCCTCTGGCCGCAGCGCGGCGAGCTCGGCCGCCACGTTGCGACTGCCTGTGCGGAGGCCCGTCTGAATCGTCCTAATGACTGCCGCCACATCAGCAGGAGGGGTGGACAGGAGGCGCGGCTGCATCTGCAGCATGCGGCCGGCAAGCTCCGGCCCGACGC